TTTGTTTGTTTGTTTGAGACAGGGTCTCTCACTATGTAGTTGAGACTGACCTGGAGCTCACTGTGTAGCCCAGGCTGGTCTTGAACTCACAGCGATCCTCCTGCCTCAGCCTCCTGAGTGCTGGGATTTCAGGCGTGCGCCACCATGCTCGCTCTTATGGCTGAGGAGGACACCGGGAGCCCTCCTTTTCAGACCATGTGCTTGATGTCTTCCTGGGGACCCTGCGGGGCTGGAGGTGACCCTCCCCCGATCTCCCCATCTGAGGACCAGCGAGGCTGGGCAGATATCCTGGCAGACCAGTGGGCCTGCTGAAGGCAGCCGGGTGTCGTCTCTGAGCTGTGACCCTACCCACAGCCTCAGGACACCCAGCCAGGTAAAAGGGGCGCTGGACACCCTGGGGCTCCCGCGGCGCCCCCCACCTAGCTCGGGGACAATAGACAAGATGTTTATCCCCCGCGTACATGTTGTTCGAGGTAATGGCAGTAATCAGCGGCGCTAATGCGGCATTCTCTCCGCGCCAGTCAATTCGCCTAATTACCGCCTGCGAAGCCGGATTATTTAAATTTAAATGGTGATTTATTGCGGGCTTAATCAATGCTATTTTCTCCCCCCCCCACCAGAGCAGGAGGAACTCGGAGCCTGTCCAGCTCCACCCCGACGACAGCCTTTCCCTGGGCTGGGGACAGCCGGGGACGCTGGAAAGTCCTGTCCCTGACCCCTGCGACGCCAAGCCGGAGCAGTAACGGTGGCAATAGCACTTCCAGGCACCAGGGCCCGGGTCTGGGAGAAGACGAAACTAACGAGCCTACGCTTTTTACACAGCTGCACCGTCCTGGCCACTGGCAGGGCCGCCTCCCCCGGCAGGGGCTTCGGTTTGTTTCCTGCCCGATCCGGGGCGATCCGACGGCGCCAGACGCAATCCAGTAAACGGAGCCCAACGGCCCCATGAGGCGGCCAGACACAGGGTGACTCGCGAAGGTCGCCTAACGCCGCCGGTGCTCGGCCCCCTGGGTGAGGTCACCCAGGGCCGGGGCGTGGCCGAGGCTGCGCGGTTCCCGGGGAGACTTCCGAGGCCCCCATCTTCCGCGCGGCATTCCCCAAACTCCCGCATCTTTGCGCCCTCTCTGGGCCCCACAGACCTGAGGTCTCTCTCTTTATAGAGTGGGCCCGACGTGGTTGCACACGCCTGTCATCCTAGCACTCGGGAAGCTGAGGTAGGAAGATCTCGGTGAGGTTTTGTTGGTTTTTTGAGACAAGGTCTTGCTATGTAGTTCAGGCTGGCCTTGAACTCACTGTGTAGTCCAGATTGGGCTCAGATTTGGGGCAATCCTCCTGCTTCAGCCTCCCGAGTGCTGGGATTGCATGTGCCACCCCGCCCAGCACAACGCTGTGAGTTTGAGGCCAGCCTGGGCTACCTAGAGAGTTCCAATCTCAAGTACCAAAACCAAAGTCCAAATCCCATTAGTGAGAGGGGCCCTGGTTGGTTCCCTCTGTCTCCTCCACGCAGCCTCTCCTTTCGCGGGGATAACGATTCACCTTCCCCAATTAAAACAGTAGCGTTTCCCTGTGGTCTGATCCCTGTAGATCTGGCTTAGGCCCCAATTCACGAAATTTCCCCACTCCCGCCTGCCCATTTCACAGAAGAGTAA